TTATGTTTATTAGAAAAATGCGAATGAAGTTTAATAAATGAAATATGTAATGAAACTCTTGAGTTTCATTTTCTCAATGCAATTTGATAAGCATATTTGAGTAATAGCTCAAATTTTAACGAACACATTAAAATTCAGCAACCAGAGCTGAATAATTGGCAGACAAATGGAATCACGTTCACGTCTCAGCGTTTATTCACATTAAGTTTGCAGAAACTTCCAGGAGCTATTTATAATAGGTTATCTATGTTCATAATTATCGAGATGACTCGAGAATTTTCCGGAAAGTGCAGTATACTGGTTACGGGATTGAGAATAGTGACTATTGTCTTCGATAATAATAATAATAATAATAATAGCCCTAATATCCGAGTTTTGAAAATTCAAATCTTTTTGATTTTCCTCAGATTCCGAAGATGTGAATACCTTATCCTTAGATAAAATGAAATGTAACTGATAATACATTCTCATATAAAGAATTAAATTAATTATTTAGGGCTGCGTTTGATTTGAGCGTGTTAGTCTTCGTCTTAATTGTAAAGGGAAACCAAAATTACTATTTAAGTAGAATTCTGAAAAAGCTAACAGCTTATTTTAAAACAGCATTCCTTTCTTCATGAGCGTATATATGAGCCAGGCAGCTTTAACAAGTCCTTTAGGAAGGCATCCTTTCCTTCGGCAGAAGGACTTCGGACTTCTTTCGGCAGATAGTCCTCGTGTGTTTTGCGAAATTCAAACGAACCTTACTCGAATAGCAATTTCTCCGCTGCGCGCGTTGTCCCATTTTATGTATTGTATTTTTTTCAGAGGAATGCATATTATTAGTTAAAAATGAAGAAAAATCACTGGGTATTGTTTTCAAGTTAGTGCTTTATTCTCCGCTTACATTAAAAGCATTTTATACGGCTGTACTCGTAAAGACCATTATAATTTCTCATTTCGATTTCAGAATACTTCTGCTAAAATCATTCGACATTTATCAGCTGGAGAAAAAAGGAAGGAAACCAGAAATCAATGATTGGCTTTCTGTCTGAAAAAATAATATTGATTTGCACTGTAGAATAGTCTCAGTTTTGTGTATCAGAGAAAGCAAATTTATCTCTTTGGATAACTCAAGAAATAAAAATGCTTACGGATACTTATTTGCAAATACATTCATTTAAAAAAAAATGCAAAATTCTCATTAATTCACTTCAAACGTTTCTTTTCATAAAAATACATTTCTTTACATTTAAGTAAATTAGAAATCAGAAATTTTAAATAAATTGTGACTTCTAAAAAATCTAGTTTCGGCTCTCAAAATTTTCTGAATCCTAACATGTGTTTCTGCTGTCCTGAAATAAATGGGCACCCCTGTAATAGACCAACAGAAGCAGCGATAGATTAATCATTAAGAAAAATAAGCGCAGGCTTAGGGCATCATGGAATTCGGAAAAAATTACCCATCGCCGGTTCACCATTGAATGTATGGGTGCAGCTAAAAGGGAAAGAAGGAATGAGAAAAAAAAAAAAAGGTGTTATACAGTAGGACACCAAACCATCCTAGGGTAGGACCTCTAAAAATCTTCAGAAAAATAGGAATACTAAGCGCAAGGAATATAATACAATTGATACTTTAAATATTTATGCGATAGTTTAATTCTATACTTGAAAAATTTTTCAATATTAGGAAATACATTTTTTAAATGCTTTTAGTGGCGCCATCTCTTGAGCAAGATTTATACTAGATGTAATTCAAATCTACGCCAAAGTATGTTTTTTTTTTTTTTTTCCTCTCTCTTCCCTTTTTCCCCCCCTCCTAATTTTAAATTGGTTTTATTTATTTTCTATTTAACAACAATTTTGGAAAAAAAAAAAAAACTGCTTATTTCTGTGTACTTTGGAGTACTAATTTCGATTATAAAATCAGAATTCTCCGTTAGAGATCTATATCTTACTAGCAGACAATTACAAATCGTTATATACCAAACAGCGAACTATTATATTATTGTTTATATAACAAACAGTTCATTAAATATTACAAGATAAAATACGCCTAATGTTTTTAATAAGCTCTTTTAATACAACTTTTAATAATTACAGACACTTGATACAAATTATTTTTACAGCAATTAAGATACTATTTTATTAAACATATACACCATTTCGACATCCACGTAACTAAACAATCATTGAATAATTTTCTTCTTGGGAAATAAATTTTATTTTCTTAATAATCTTCGATGCATTTATTACTTTCACAGAAAACATTTAGAACTTGCTTATTTATTATTGTTTTATTAACAAAGGCACACTTTCATATAGGAAAATATTTATAGAAATAGACAGCAACCAAATAAATATTTTGGATTCATAAAATTTGTAAGAATTAGACAATGCTGTTTTAGCTACATTAAGTCGTATAAACTACATTCCATTATATGCAAGCTAATCCGAGATTACACACAATTTTAGAAGCTTAATTCAATTCAAATAAATATGTACAAGAATATGGTTTGCAGGAAAATGAATTGAAAAATGAGGGATTTTATTGAAAGGGAAGAAATGGCCAAAATCTAGTTCGATTTTCACTAACAGAGGGCACTACATAACATTTTCAGTAATGATCACAGTTGTAGAGACATTAGGTTATCTCGAAGCAAGAAAGATGAAAAATAAGCAACGCCTTCGCCGGGACTCGAACCTGTCGAATACGCGCCGAGCGTGCTGACAATTACACCACGAAGGCATGCTAAGAAGGCGGGAGGAGAAATACACTAAGGCTGAAAACAACTTATTCACAAGAAAAACAAACCACGATACCTTTACCACAAAGGCAAATATTTAGGGTATATACTGATAGAAGAAATCCTTTCCAATGTCTGCAATCATTACTACTGTTCTCATAAAGTACCCTCTACCTGTCTTTGCCGCTCTTTTTTGAGTAAATTTTAGCTAAATATTTACTTCTATCCCCCTCCCAAACACCCCTCTTTACAATACATTTTCCTGTGAAGTTGCACTCTATTACTTTCGTTCTTCACTTTTTAATAAGGTTTTGAAATATTTACGCTTTTTTGGACCGCTCAGTATAAACGTTCAGAGTGGTGATTCCAGAATGAATTTCTTGCAGAGTGTTTTCTAATACAGAAAACTGCGTAAATGAATATGAGGTGCACCTTGAACAACGAACATAACTTGACTTTGTACAAATGGTTTTTTCTGAACCTGAGACATTTAATCTTTTCGTGATGGAAAAAAACATGAAATTTTCATATTGTACAGAATTTATCTACATGTGCTTGCTATAGATATACGTATAATTTTGTAACAATAAAGCAATTTCTATGGAAGTTTGCATTCTTTAAAACATTGTTTAAAAAATAATGCGCATGGTTTTAGATCAAAATCAACCTAGACATTGAATATGACACGCATTAGCAATTTAAAGCATAATTTATAATTTGATGTAATAAATAAGCAAATGAAATCTGAACAAAACAGTAAAACTAGTGACAGCAAAATTTTACTTCAAAATTACAAACTTATATAAATATATAATACTGTAAATATAACAAAAAGCAAAAATAACCTAGTTAATAACATTCATTACATCATCAATAATTTATGAATAAGGTTTTAAAGCCTTTCTGTTCTTTCCAGGAACTAATTTCGATTATTAATTTTAAATAACCGAAGTAAAAATTTATTTCTTCACAAATTTTATCATGCGCTAACGATAAGCACCTTCAATTTGCGATTAAACTTTTCTACAATAGCTCGGCTTTAGCAAAGCTCTGGGAATTGTACTTTGACACATGCAAAGTGAACATGTTTGGGCAAATGATGATATGTTTACCTAACCAAGGCACTTAACAGAAATGTACTGTCCTACGGCTAGGCCAATATACATGTTTCTATGGCACACTAATAGTGAAATTTTTGAAGAATCAGCGAAATTTTAAAGATTCAACGTTTTTTTCATATCGTAAACAGGGTATTACGTCTTCTAAAGTATTAAGTTTTTTTTTACTTAAATATGAAGTTTTGAAAAGAAATTTAAAACTGAAGAAGATAATATATGTATTTGCGCGAGGTCTGCTTCGCACGGCAGTCTTGAAGCTCCGTTTCGTGGTCATGGTGGTAGTTAACATAAGCAGGAACTTCCTGGAACTGCCGTTTTTTCTGTCCTTAGAGATAAATCCATGATTTGTTGGTTGGAGACCAAGAGCAGTGCTTCAAAGCCAAAAGTACACATGCAACTCTGCAGCAAATTATTTGGATTTCTTTCACATTGCAAGAGCAGGTTGCTCGTTACACATTTCAATCACGTGAAATAGTACGGTTTCAAGTGATTAAAATGTGTGGCAAGCACCTTCACGTGATCAAATGTATCGCTAGTCCGCCATGCATTTTTAACAACAAATTACAAACAATAGACCAATTAGTGCAGAGTTTAACAACAATGGTACATGTATACTTAATTGTACATTACATTATTTCTGGAGGTACATTTTTACATAAAAGATTTAAATAATGAATAGAAGAGAAACACGCAAATGTGACAATCAAAATTGCAATAACAACCTTGCATTTAGCGTACATATATTGAAACACTTAAATCGATTTCGAGGGCAGCTAAAGGTTTCATCAGGAGAACGAAATTACTAGAAAGGGGGAAAAAAGAAGAAAAATAAAGCATCGGCAAAGGAGTCGCAGAAACACGTGGTCATTATCAGCACTGCACGTGGTCGTAACGGATTTGGAATCAGAGTTACACTGGCCGCCTACTTTTACTGAGCCAGATCAAACATATAACACATAGACTAAAACGCAAAAAAATTAGCGAAGTCAAAAAATAGGTAGCGAGGGGCAACTGCACCTTCACGCACCAAGTCTGAACTTCGAATTCGAGGTTGATCATTCGAGGTTCAGACTTGGTGCGTGAAGGTGCAGTTGCCCCTCGCTACCTATTTTTTTGACTTCGCTAATTTTTTTTTTTTTTTTTTTTTTTTTTTTCGTTTTTAGTCTATGTGTTACATGTTTGATCAGATAGCCTGGTTCAGTAAAAGTAGGCGGCCAATGTAACTCTGATTCCGAATCCGGTTACGACAACGTGCAGTGCTGATAACGACCACGTGTTTCTGAGACTCCTTTGCCAATGCTTTATTTTTCTTCTTTTTCCGCTTTTTAGTAATTTCGTTCTCCTGATGAGGAGGGACATTTAGCTGCCCTCGAAATCGATTGAGTGTTTTAATGCATGTACGCTAATTTAGGTTACGCAAGGTACGCTAATACAAGGTTGTTATTGCGATTTTGATTTAAATAATGTTCAAAATGTATGTAAAACGACTCCTCGTTTGATATACGTATTGGTACTTGATGGTACATATATTTTGCATTTTATTTATGTAATACAAAATACAAAAACTTGAGAGTCCCTGAAGTAGTGGATATTAAAAGGCAACAGTTTTTAGAATTTAACGGCAAACTCATTTTATCCCATCTTATCGAAATTAAGCCAATTCGGATAAAAGATTAGGAATTTTGTTTTTCGTACAAAATGGAATGAGTTAATTTTTGTACATTTTTTGGATACCAAGAACTGCTAGAAAATTTTTTAAAAGACTTTTACCTTGGGAAAACTGGATAGAAATGAATGATTACGTTAAAAACTACATTGTAATGCACATGAAAATCAACAAAATTAACAGTTTAAAGCGCAATTCCCAGAAGCTTTGGAAGTAACCGTCGTATTAGAAATATAACGAAGCTTTTTATATACAAATAAATTCTTTCTAAGTTTAAAATAGTCACGATATGTAAAATCTGCGGCATAACGGAAAATTCGAATTGTCCGAATTTATTCCAAATGCATTTCAAGGAACCCTTATATAAGTCCACCATTACAGTAGGCTTATATTAAGTCTATAGTGTCATTGAGTCCCAGGACCTTTTTTTAAATGCTGTCATCGTTTATTTCTTGAACGAGAACATGTATCAAGAGTATTCGCCCAAACTTGTTCATACGGTAACATTTTGCCTTTAACTTTTGTCACCTGAACTTCAAATAAATACGTCGTGCCTGGGTGCAAACCTCTAACTCGTTGCATAATAACGTTATTAAACCGACGCTTGCTGAATCTATGATACCTCCGACAAAGCACGGTGTGACGCCTGGTGCTGCCATCTATCGGCGGTTCACAGAAGTTTTGAGGTTCTGCAAGCGTCCGTCGCATGAGTTCATTGTGAGGTGACTGCTTATAAATGCAATATTTGACTCTCTCATCCGATGAAGTTTTCCACCCAATCGTAATCGAATCGCATGTTGTCAATGTGTCGAAAACGCTAACGCTTTTGTCTTCAGGAAGGACTGGGAAAGGAAATGCATGCTTTTTGCCACTAATCCATACACGCACCTTACGAGGATGTTTAACACTTGAGCGAATGGAAAACAAATAGAGATTTGATGTCGAATTCAGTGGTGCTGCCATCAGTCGGGGGATTTCCAAAGTTTTCACATCCATGACATTTGTGGATAAAATTTCTTCTTTCGGCACTGTGTTCCTTGAAATATCTAGAATTACCGGCCCAGGTCCAGTACAAGACTGTATAAATAATAGTATTGGACCTAGAAGAGAAAAAATTACAACTTTTACTACAGGTTAAGAAATAAATACATTAATTAAATCTTCATTTTTATAGTTTCTCTCTCTCTCTCTCTCACTCTCTTTTTTTAATAGGATAATTTTTTTTTTCCAGACAAATGATAATTGTTTAACTCATAAAGCACTAAAAACTTGAAAATTCTTTGTTATAAATTAAAAAAGAAATGAATAAAATCTATTGCATTACAACATTTTATTGAACTTCTTAACATAAAAATAGCTTTTAGTTATTTTTTTAAATGAACTTTTCAATAAATTTTTATGAGAAACAGTGAATTCGGACTGAAGAAGGAAGGTAGATTGACAAGGAATTTTTCTGCTTTTTTTAAAGTGTCAATGTTTCTTTTGCCACTGAAATTCATGGACTCAGAGGAATATACTATAGTCGCCAAGTTTTAATACTCGTAATATTCATAAATACAATTAGCTTGCACTTTGTTTTGAAAAAACTAAATTTACACGTATCACGAAGTAAATTCAGATTTTTATGCAATTAGGTCTTTTTTTATTCTGTCGTTTTTTTTTACGTTTCATATACATACACACATATATGTGTTTGTGGTTATGTACGGATGATTTAGAGTTTTTTGAGTTTTTTTCCTGGGGGAAGGAGCTAAAATTTAATAAACTTGTTGCTAAAATTTAGTGATTTTGGAGGCATTATACATCTTAATATTTTCTGCGGGCTTTTGAAAATTTATATTACAATAGCCATAACAAATATAGCATAACAAAATATTTCTCATTTATAATCATATAACAAAATTTCTACGCTTTGTATCTACCCTACAGATGTTCGGTATATGTATACCTGATGACACGGCAGACTTCGTCTTAGCTCATTCGCTTTGCATCGCACAGGCGACTAATTTCCTTGAATTCATCGTAGCACGCACAAAAAGCCTACAACTGGTTTTGTTTGATATTTCGACGGAAATATCTATTGTAAAGTAACAATTGACTCTCATTTAACGAATTCTAAGATGCACTAAGCTTTGTGTTTAACAGCGAACGCCATGTTTGAATTATATCACCTCTTAGTGGCTGAATCCTTAACTGCATGCTAGAACCCACTTTGAGTGGAAACTTTGAGAGATTCTTTATGGATTACAATATATTTGTATGCTAATTTTTACAGTTTATGTCCTGTAAATTTTCGAAACTTTGGAGGGACAATCAACCACTTTATATAATGTGGTCATCTACTTGAGGTAGGGTATGTCTTTAAAATTGCAGCCTAATTTATAAGTGACAAAACTACGACTTTATAAAATAAAATGAAAGCCTACTGTTATTGTAGATATACAAGAAAGAGCAAAGAATATTCTCGAAGAGAAAGAAAATACTAGAAACCTAATAGAGACTATATAGTGTAGCGACTGGGTTTTTGATAAGTTTTATCCCAATAGATATCCGAACATATTAAGTATGCTATAAAATTTTAGTCATGTTATTAGCAGATTTACTATTTAGTTCATCTAGAACTCACCAGGAGTCCGTCCAGGACTGTACTTTGTATTCACAGCATATCCATTCGTTTCATCCAAATTGAAAGTGACCAGAGAATTATCTTTCAACCTGGAGGTTGGTGAAATCACATTCTTCACTGCAGCACTTACGCCAATATAAGCGGAAGATGCATTTGTCTCCTTGTCTATTACAAATACGTCTAGGTAGTACGTCTTGCCTCTTTGAAGTCCTTTGAATTGGTGCCATGTCTTTCGTCCGACACAAGTGAGTTTCGCCCCGTGTTTTGGGTACAGAGGATGAGGGTTTGAAGAAATCAGTGCGTGAGATCTATGGTAGCCAGGACTCATAGGTGGTTGAAATGGTGTACTGCCATAGAGATCGCTTTCAGCAGAGCACAAAGAATTGTAGTTTCCTCTAAAGTAAGTACAAGTTTTGAATATAAAATTTAAAAAAAAGTAGTAACTATACATATTTAAAGTTTTGTGTAAAAGTGGATATATTCACAGATACATCTGAAAATAATTATAACGATGCCCTCTTTTAAAAGACAGTTTCCATTTAACTATTAACTTATTAATGAGGACAGTAAGCTCTTTTAAATATTCCTTCGGGAATACTCTTATATAGTAATATTATTCTGACGCTTTTTTGACAATCTACATAATCTACATAATTAATAAGTATACATAATTAATAAGTATAAAGTATAGTTTCTTTTTTATTTAGTAAGTCTAAACCAGAAATCCCCAAACTTGTTTTTGCGTCGACCACTTTTAAAGGAACAGTTTTCTTCATCAACCCCCTTAAATTTTTTTTTTTTGTATAATATATACAGCATACAAAATAATTATTTTTAATTTTATTAATATTATTATTTTTAATTTTAAAAATGTAAACAGGTTTTCAGAAACAAAATTAGAAACTATAATTGCACAAAAGTTTGGCTTTAACTCCTGTGATGGTTGGTATGATGTTTGATGCAATTTTTTAAATACTTGCCATAAAATTAAATTCAATTCTTAAATCAGCTCATTCAAAAATATTCAATCTGTTCTTTGTTTTCCATTTATTTGTTCGATTCATTACGACAAGAGAAACAACACATGAAATGACATTTTAAAAAATCTATTCAATTATTTTATTGCTAAAAAGTATTATTTCTGTACACTAGATTATTTTAAACATAACATTTCAAAATTAATTTAAACATAACATTTCAAGATTATTTTAAACATAATATTGGCTTTCTTTGGAGTTTTTTTTAATTTTCTGGAAAATAAAACACAGATTTTTCAAGAACAAATCTCATAAAAATTTCGATAATTTTAATATATCATTATTTATGTGACGTTCTATACAAATTTTTAAATATGTTTTACTTATGGCCCATAATCGTATATTCCAAGTCTTTCAATATATCATCTATGTGCTTTTTAACAAAATTTATTTATATTTAAAGTGCTTTGTAATCTTCTTATCATGTGGATGCATAATATAACTATGTAAAATTAAACTCCAGGAAGCTCCAACACCATCACCTTTTAACAATTTTCGGTGACATTAAAATTTCAAGCGTTAAGAAATCTGTGTTAAATTTATGCGTAATGCTTACTTATTTAAAAGAGGAAAAAAAAAGATCGAATCATTCTAACTTGCGTTTAATATAAAAAACTCGAAATTAAATTCTTTATATTAAGTATTATCAATCTTTTGTACATTTTATATTTACTCATGCATAATAATGTTTGTCATAAAAATGATATTTTTGAGATTCTAAACTAAAAATATTACGCTATAAAGAAATGAATATCATGCTAAATTTAGTACTAAAATTATCCTAGTAATATTAAAATTATTTCAAGCAGTTCTGTATTAAAATACTATGCATTTTTAGAAACGAAAAAGAAAATATATTAAACATAAAAAAGAAATATTTCTAAATATTAGGATAGCTTCATTTCAATAAGTATTACTAATAAAGGACTATCAGTCGTTTTGCAGATTTGTCCAAATATATTGCAAGATTGACGTTTTATCAATTTCGTAGAACATTCATTTCATTCTGTGATAAGTGAAGAATAGAATGGCGATCCCTTTAGCACTTTTCTAACTTTTCACTCACATAACAGCAATTTTCTCGTTAATGCTTTTAGTATTCGATTTTTTGTTATTTCTTATGGTACTTGCAAATTCATTTCGTACTCAATTCAAATACTGCCCTTTAAAAAGCAGGTTTGCTAGAGGAGCTGATGATATGTTCAAATTATGATCTAGTATAGAAAGCTAATGGTTAATGCTGATAAAACAATTCGGCGTAAATGAGAAATGGGTAAAAGTTTTTCGTATTTACTATAAAGAGCTGACATAAAAGCAGTGCCTTTCTAACAACTATTTATAATTGAAAGGTAGGAAAAGTTTTGAAGAATAAGAGTTGTATACATGACTGTTGTATTGATATCGGTTTCATAAAGAATGGACTACAATTTGATTTTAGAAAACTTAATGCAATTTTAAAATTATTTTCATGTGCTTTGCTTTGCTCACAATATACCACTCTTTTTATATCCACAGTTTATTCAGTCATGAGTATAAATATTTTTATACTAGAATATGTTGCTTTAAGAACAAGATGAAAAAAAATATCGGATAGAGATTTACCTGAAATAACTTCATATTTTAATACTGAAACTAATTCTACTTCTCTACCTACTATTACATGTACTTCCGTTATGGACGAAACTAATGATTCCTTCGAATTTGAATTTGCAGCTAATTTGGACAGCTAATTTGTTAACGTTAGAATGCACTCTGAAGTCAAAATAAAATACGTCTTTATCAAATCACAGACCTTTATCTTACAAAATTAAACATACACTGTTTTTACCTATTAGAGAATTTAAAAGCGCATGCATTGGAAACACTTTCTATTTTGACGAGACACGAATTCCTGCTTTAGTGAATTCGGTAGAAACAAAAGATTAGCCTAAGGAAAACTACAATAACTTTTTAAGTTATTAAAAAATTATGAATTTTAATTTGTAGGAAAACGGAAAGATTTTCTAGACATTGTGTTTTAAGAATGTGGTAAAAATTATCACAGTCATTTTTTGTAATTCTTTCACAATTCGTATTACATTTGAGTATACAGTTATAAGAAAGAAACAAACCATCTACCCTACAGTGCTCTGAAAAAGATTAATGAACATTCATTTATTAAATAAAGCCTCCCCCATATATGTGAGTAATCCAAGCAGAAAAACTAGATAGTTATAAAACCTGGTTAGACATTTTTAATAGAAAGACTGGATATTTCCCAAACACGCCCAGCCACTGAAACAGAAAAATTAAACATTCACAAAAACCTAGCCAGAAACTGAAAAAAAAAGTTAGACATTCGCAAAAATCTGGCCAGAAATTGAAATTGAAAGATTAGATTTTCACAAAAAATCCTGAGCAGAAACTGAAATATCACCTAGTATTAGCTGTTACACAATATTCAACAGGTCTGCCGGATTGGCTCGCTTTCCAAGAAACCAAGACTCTGTTGCGTTTGATTTTGATGATATGAACATTAGATTCAGGTGGAACAGGTGGGTGGTATGACATCTGACTGGGAGGACGAGTGGTAACCAAAATTCTTGCTCTAGTCTCGCCATCCGCTCTCATTTCCAGAGCATACAAACCAGGGGGTGCTCGTGGATTGGTATATGATCTTCGGTCTTTTCCCACATATGTTGCTGCAGGTGAAGTTGAAGGAGGTCTCAAAACATGATTTGCCCACAAAGCTGAAAAAAAAATATATATATATAATACAATATATACAATCAAACTCATTTTTTCCCACTTTAGTACAGGTGTATACAACACTAAAATTAATTATTCAAAATTATTAACGCACAATTCGTAACTTTATTAGAAAACTTCCTTAAAAACCGCATCAGTAAAACGTACCACTATGCTCTATATTTAGCAAGGTTTTATTCCCGACTAATACACTCGACTAATTGTCGAAGAAATCCGTAGATTAAAGTCTCTGAAATTACGGTGTGCAAGTTTGAGAAGCTCTGATCATGAACATTTCTGAGTAATAAGGTAATATACTATTGTATAACAAATAGGTAACCACAATAGGTACATTTTGTTATTTTTGGTGGTACAACTTTTGCGCAAAAGATCTAAATGAATGTAAAATGACGTCCCTTTTGTACATATATTGGTGCATCTATTTTTTATTTTAAATTCTATGGTAAAATATTAAAAAAGTGTGAGAGCCATTGTGCTGTCATACTTGCTGTCACACTTGGCATTGTGGCATTGACAGCCACTGTGCTTCATGACATAGGTTTATGTGTCGCCATGTACTCTAGGATGTTCTTTTCAACATTCGAAACATGAGAAAGGCCAATGGTTTCCCAGACTGTCTATTTCAATCTAATATTGATTATACAGCACGCTCAGTATCCCAGCTTCTCTTTAGGAAGTAATTTAGAACTGAGGGACTCGGATTGGTTGGCAGTAACAAATGTAATACTGGATAGAGATGTTAGTCATATGCAAAGCAGGCTAATTCCTCATTACCAAGTTCAGTACAGCTATGACTCACGTCCACATCGCTCAGGAACATTGTGACTCGAGAATTAAGTCATGTGCCGCTTTTCCCATATTTCATTCCGTTTCTTTACTTGGGAAGATGATTTACAGAGGTAATGAAGGGATATAGGATCTTCCTAGGCATACTATACTTTGCAACATACATCAGAATAACTCTTCGTCTTTATGGAGTTCATTTGTATTAAGCCAAAGCAGCGTTACTGGAAAAAGTGATGAGCTGGCATGAGCTACTGAAGTCAAATGAAATGTTTAGACTCACTGGCTGTAAATTGAATTAATGAAGAATCAGTAAACGAGGAAGAGATTGAATAAATGGTTGATAATGAATAATTTATTGAACATTCTTCGTGAGTGGAGCAGAAAATGGATTTTTACGATGAAGCAAATGCTAAGGAAGCCAATTTATTTTACACTGGATAAAATGGCATTGCCAGGTGGAAAAAAGAAAGAAAACGGCATAGTGGGATAACACTTTGGAACGTAACTCAACAGATAATCTCGAAGGCTTCCTTTAACTGCAATCACCTAGTACGTGTAACTTCTGTGGATCCCTCCTCTTGTTTCTTTAAAAAAAAAAAAAAAAAAAATTAATGGACCAATAAATGCTTTTGTGCTTGGCGTTTCTATAATTAATCACATATGATTAGTAATATTCTGATAGCTATAATTTAAAAAAAATCCTTTTAAAAAATATGTAGTGGGTTAACAAACTGCTTGTTATTAAATTATCACATTTAATGACATTTGATGCTAAAATAACCTTTTCCGAGAAACAAGCTTTTCGTCCTCCTACCACTGCAGGACTTCTAACCGAAATATGTTCCGCTGGAATTGATATCTTGGCTAGTTATACAGGACATTTTATATTGGAGATTAAAATATTTCGCTTGAAACTTTGTGTCTCATAGATTTTTCTCAATGAACAGGTTTCGCATAAGTCAACCAATCAGATATCCTGAAAGATAAAATTTCGGAAAATGTTTCTTTCGACCCTCTGTTGCAAGTAGGTAGTAGATGTGATACAGGTTTTACATGTTCGGGAGAAGGTTAGTATTACTGAAGAAGAGGTGAAAGTTTGGGTGGATGTAGACAATCCTATTTCTAGCACAATCTTTCCAAATAATGACAAAATAATCTGACATTTTCTGGGAAAGGAGAAAGATAATGAGAAGGGGAGGGAAGAGAAAAATAAAGATGATGTGCGAAGCAAGAAAGTTTTACGTGGAAGGAACTTGACGTACTTTGGCAGAGATTCATGAGATATGCCGAGAAATATCCATCAATATCAGCACATGATATTATGAAGCTGTATTGCATACATAGCGAAATTTTAAAACTACGCTGACAATTTTATGGGGCAGGCATTCTAGTTATAAGCCATTACTCTAAGAAATTTCTAACTTTCATGTGATAATATCTATAGCAATTTTCATTAAGACCAATGGACTTCGCATGCCTCAGTTTCTAAAGATGGCATCAAAAACGTGAACACGTCGATTAACATATGAAGTCTAGAAATACACATTCAGTTAAAAGAGATTCTGTTGTATATAAATCTACTATAAGTTTTCTAATATATATATATATATGTTATATGATCTTAAATTCATTTAGTGCGAAAACAAGTTACTACTACTTGCTACAAGTTACTACAATTGCTGCAAAGTAAGTTAATAATAATTTATTTACTAAATAATATTGATTAATTGATTATATTATCTCCTAAGTTTAATTAAACATTGGAAATTGTTAATTTTTACAAATAATATTGAACTCAAATGCATAAACACGAGGGTGTCGGGGGACGGTTACTCGAGCATTTTCGAAATTTTACTGCAAAAATTTCTTTTCACTCAAAATTGAATTGGCTAAAATGCTTAATAGGAATAAGTTCTTTGAATATCAGCTTTGGTTTATAATTCCCTTCTATTCACGAAAAATTTGGCCTGACTTGGATTGCCGGTTTGGCTTTGCCTTATTGCTCGAGTAAAGACGAAACACCGTATTTATTTATTAATTATTGTTCCTTGAACGGGAGTTGGTTTGTTCCCCTTGAAAAGTCAACTAATTTCCGATCAATGACAATGATTACATGTATTTAATTTAATTCTTGCCTTTAATTTATTCCTTTTACAATTGAAATTTTGTTATTCATGATTTAATTCCAGTCCCCGTTAAACATTTTTAACAATTAACTTTCAAGTTACTTCTAAACATCCTTCAAAATATAACTTACTAGCATGGATTCACTCTTTTAAGATAATCCTACTATAATTAAACTTAGGAGATAATATAATCAATTAATCATTATTATTTAGTAAATATATATATATAATTAAAAAGCTAGGTAGTAAGTACTATATAAAAAGACCAATTTGGTCTAAAAAACTTTTTGCGAAATATGCTGCAAAATTAAGGAAACGAGAAGAAGATAAATTGTAGTAAGCTCGCCAAAAAGTCTCCAGGAGCTGTGGCTCCAAGGAAAAGTTCAACACAGTATTTAAAAAAAAAAACAATGACATTGAAAGGTGAAAAATTAGGCTACACGCGAAATGAAATGCATAATATAAAACACAGTAAAATACCAATCGTTGGAAACAGGTTAATGGCAAAAAATACAGTAAAATACCTATCGATGTGATAAGTGAAAAGTTAAAACATATAAAAAAACCGATCGATGAAACAAGTTAAAACAAATAAAAACATATGAAAAAATACAAAAAATTATAAAAATTATAAAGCGGAAAATGGTAAATTAGCTTAATTCGATGTCCAACCTGGCTTTTCAAGGGAAATTTCTGGCTAAACGTCGAACCAAGCTAACATGTATATATATATATATAATGATTTAATTTTTGGAAGAGAACTGGATACTTGAAATCTATGCTGTATCTTAGCTGTAGCGAAAAGCTAGGCATGATTGAGTTAGGTATCTCGTCTTAGCTTGTCGTTAGAGGAATTAAAATGTTTCCCGAGAACATTAATTTATTTTAATGCAACGGAGAATGAAGAAACACAGTGTCTGCCTGCGCTATAAAATGTTATAGAAATGGATCATTTTTGAGAAATAAGTAAAATTATCTATTTTTATAATGCGACGCTTGTATGCGATTCGTAGAAACAGAATCAAATAGAAATTTCACGTAGCTGAATGTACTAATAACTAAACTGGATATTTAGATTCCCTAGCGCTCTGTGCAAGATAATTACGTTAACGCATATGAATATAGATATACAGCTCAAATAAACGGACAAATGCAGAAAGCAATATATAGTAATGAATACTATATATGAACAATAAGTTTTTATTCTTTTTTCCTCTGCCGCCTGCTCCCAAACAAATTTACTTTAATTGTATTCCAATCCTGTGTCTATTTATTAAATAAATGAGCAGGCACAGTCGACTATCTGAAACGATATGTTCACTGAAAATACTGTAACTTCTTAGGAAATAGAGAAGTCTACAGTAAATTCCAGTAAGTAAAGTAAAGTAACTGTAAAATTCTTAATTGAACTTAATATTTGTGGTGGTGGCGCCACTTATTGAAAGAAATATCGTTCAAAGAGGCAAAATTATTGATAGGGATCCAACACTGGAGTTGCTGGTAGCTAGTCCGATACTTTTTTCCCCAGCAATAACGGAAGTAAAAGTCTAAAATATTTCTATTTCTTAAGGAGGAATTCTTCCTCATTAATGTCATCGTGATCATAATTTAATTGACATTCGTAATATTTATTCATAAGTTTTGAAGGAACTAGAGAAGTATACAATAGCCATGTAAGCTACTGAAAACTCTTAGTGATTACTTTGAATACTCAGTGTAAAAATAGTTTATCTTTTCTATTTAATTGAGCATGGGAATCCAGAATGTCGTTATTCTTCATCTGCACCGGAGGTCCACGTAACTAATCCCCATAAAAAGTTTCATGTGAAAAATGCCGCCTCCAAAAATTTGCTGCCCCGGGCCCACCGCCCTGCTCCTGCCATGGCCTGTGAAATAAGCGTCTGTTGGGGCCTACAGGGCCGTTTCCACTGGGGTTTATCTGAGCTAACGGAGTCAGTTCCATGTGTCGACTAGCTCCGCTATGCCTGCAGTTCAGATTTTTCAACTTACTGCCCTAGGGGAAAAGAACTGGTTTTGGAGATGGGTCGGCTACGTCAGTTGTGTTAGTT